GTTGGCTATATCCCTCATGTTGGCTGCCATGGTAGCCATTTCTCTTGATAGTCGTGCTGTCGCACGCATCCCACCTCTCCTTTGGTGGTGGTGGGGCCTCTGTCGAGCTGCTGGGACAGCAGGCTGGGGAGGCACATTCGTACTTTCTCTTACCCTTCTCGGGGGAGCATCTTCGTTAGAACTCATTTTTCTTTTATCAAACTTAGATTTCTCTAAGTGATAGGGGTTCCTCCTGTTCTTTTTCAAAAACAAATCCTTTTTCAAGGGGGGTTGCCCAAGTGTATTTCAGTAAGCTTTTACCACAAGGTTGCTCGTGGTTATGGTATGGTTTCCCACAGACGGCGCCAATCTGTTGACCCCAAAAAGTGCGTCAACAGATCCCGGTCCCACCCGCGCTTGCGTGGGTGAATGTCCAACACGCTAAGACACGTGGACGGTCTAAAACAAGCGGTTCAAAGGGGCGTGGGAGTAGCCCAACGATGCGGGACAGTAACGTTCGGGATCCGGCGGGTTGTTCGTAATCCGATTCTACAATAATTACCAACCGATGCTCGTAAATGTATAAGTAAAAGTGTATAAACTCGATTTGTGTATAGCAAGTAAATGAGAGAGAGTTGAGTAAATGCAGTCTTTAGTATTGATTCTTGCATTAGCCTTTTTACATTATACAATGGGGGTATTTATAGTGATATATATGGGATGGGAGCCCTTGGATGAAGTGGCACGTGGCCTCATCTCCTTAGTTCAAACGTCTGTTCTTAGGCCTGGGACTTGACTTGCTAGCTTACGGCGCATTTATTGCTTGTGCAGGGCCTCCATGCTAGTGACAAGACTTGACATTTATGCCTATGGCAAACGTTCCATCAGGCCTCCATGCTAGTGACAAGACTTGACCTTTATGCCTATGACAAACGTTCTATCAATCATTCGAACAAGATCTGTGCAGGCGATCTCTTGGGAGAAGTGACCATGGAGGAGGTTTCCTGGTGGTTCAGAGGCTCGCGCGTCAGCTTCGGGGCTTCGGCCCTTTGTCATGATACTTCCACTTGAGGGCCTCAACTGCTCTCAGCAGGTCCAGCAGACGGGCTTCAGTTCGTAGGCCTCAGTCAATGGACCTCGGACAAAAGGAGACTCGACAGATGAACTTCGGCTCAAAGTAGTTCGGATGTATCCCACCTCGGCATTATATGCCACCTCGGCGGGAATGCCACGTAGATCTCCATGAGTGGGCCATTGTCCCAGGTAGGTTGACCAGGTGTGACAACACGCAACAATAACCATTCTATAAATTATGATGGTCAAAAAATTGCTCTCATCCATCAGCTAGATGTATTTTTTCATCAACTCTTTCTAATCTAATGGTAGCAATTATACCATCGTATGCAATTACTCATACTGTATCACCAAGTTCATACCTCCAGTCATTGACAAAAGATCTAGGAAGTATGTATATATATATATATATAACAAAAATATAAGTATGATATTAATAAAACATTTATTAAAATGTGAAAGAAGAAACTATTATATGATTAACTAGATGGGTATTATGATTTAGTGAAGGAGTGATGATTTTGAAGAAACAATGTGACACGTTCATTTTGTTTTGATAAATTGCAATGAGAAAATTGTTAGAAGAATAATATTTTTGGCAATGTGGAAACCTGGAGAAGATAAATTTTGAAGTATAAGTGAGTTAGAAAATTTGTTAAGGAAAGTTGCATGTAAGTTAAACTTTTTATGTAATGTTATAGCAAAAATATCATGCAATTCGGTAAAAAAAATTAACATTTGTGTACAATAAAATATTTTTTAGTAAAAATCAGTCAATCACTTAAAACTACAAAATTTAGTTTTGAGAAAATAACTAAATAGATACACCTGATTTTGTTTGAACGAAACACCAACAAGTCACAAGTAAGATATGCAAATTTTTAAGGTAAAAAATGATTTCAGGTAAATATTGAAAACACATGAAGCTATTTAAACTAAAGAAAATGTATTTTTCCTTTTTTATTTAGATTTGACAAGAGGTTCACGAATTGTAGAAATAGACAAATTATTACTGAAAAGAACTAATCTCACTCTTCCTAAAAACACAAACGAGAAATCAAAAGAAATTATTGAAGCACATGAGTACCTACGTGATCTAACATGTTTCATAAATTATTTTGTTGCACTAAAAAAAGGCTATGACGTTAAATGTAATTAATTTGTGACAAATCCATTTTTATCTATAAACCTATTTTCTTAAGAGCTTTATTGAACAAGGCAAAAAAGAGTTTGAAACAAAGGATTTTTATTATTGTATACTTATTGATGAGGAGTTGTATTCAATTATAATTTGCAATTTTTGTAGTTAATTGAATAAAACTAAGCACCCCTTGCACAGAGATCTTCGCACTATATGAAAAATAGGTAGCATCTTCATGAACTTGGAAACTAGTTGTCCGAGTCTCCGTGTGACACGAAGACTTGTGATGGATCATGTCATGGAGAGAATCTCTTCATCACACGGAGAAATACTCTCTGTTCCTCATTTATTTTTTTAAATTTGTTTTGTTTATATTATAAATATATTTTTCTCAATTTAAATCATTTTTAATTTTTTTCATTTTATGATAAAACTTACTTTTTTCAATTTTAATTAAATAATATTTTTATATTCTTTATTTAATTTTCGTAACTTTTTTATTTTTTTATTATTATTATTTTTTTAAATTGTTTTAAATTTTCTTTTTTCTTCATATTATAAATAGTATTTTGTTCGATTTAAAATTCTTTTTAATTTTTTTCGTTTTATGATATAAGTAATTCTTTTTTAGTTCAAGCTTTATCTATGTATATATCAACATCTATTTATCTTGTTCAATGTGCTTCTACAAAAAATGATTATCTATAAAATTTTACATTTACAGATAAAAAAAAAAAAAAAAAAAGTATCGGCATCTCCAACTCTAAAACTCATCAAGTAACAGCAAAGACAAATCTCGACTAATTATCATCATATCTTTTCTACGCTATTATATACTCAATATAGCATTTCACGTACATCTTACTAGTTATATATAAAATCTTATGTATTTTACAAAAGAAAAATAAGAAATAATAAAATTTAAAATATAAATGGTAGAATGAACAAATAATAAATTTTTAATAAGGTTTGTAGAAGGGAAAATGAAAAAAGAAATATTAAAAGACTAAAAAATACATATTAAAAAAATTATTTTGTGAAAGTCTCCCAAAATCTTGGAATGAGTGAAAAATAATTTAGATTTTTTATTTTTGTACTTTCTACTTATGAATAATACCCTAGAGACTTTTATAAAAGTACTAAAAATTCATTAAAATTTTAAATAACAGATGATTTATAAGAACTTCTAAAAAATTTTAATCGAATATATAGATTTTAAAAGTTTATTAAATAAGCCAATACTTTTTTATAAAATCTACACGAAATACCTCTGAATTTTTTAAAACCTTAAAAGCTTTTAAAAATCCCAATTGAATACGGGGTCTTTAGTGCCCTAAATTAGATAAGCATGGAGGGCTGCACATATAAACAAACATTCTTTACAACCAAACCTTGCAAGCTAAAATTATAGAAATTACAGCACATAAAACTCAAACTTCCTTGAATGAGAATTATGCATTACAACTTGCAACAGGAACAAGTAGCTCTAAGCAAAAACTGGACATGACACAATGCCACATTTACTATTTATGTAGATGAACGATTTCCTTCCCTTGGCATTTAACGTTTCACGAAAACCATCACTTACTTCCGGATCGAGAGGAAGTCGAAGCTTCGAAGAGGATCGCTGTGAGCACCTTTAGTAACTGCAGTACGAGAGAAAGCTGAAGATTTAGGTTCAATGCCGGGATGAACTCTGTGTGTTGTAGAGACACGGCCACTGCTCGACACCAATCTACTTGAGTGGCTGTCGGTGGGTCCAGCAGAAGAGCTAGGTCTGCTGCTCGAAATTGCTGCTCTCTTTGAAGTGCTGTCATTTCTAGAAGTTCGGCCTCTCTCCGAATCGAGTTGCTGCATATTAGAAATTACAAGAAACCTTTCAGTACGAAATTTGACATATCTGTCCTGCAGTAACTTCTATTCAAGGACAAAGTGATAACATGCTCTGAAAACATGGAAACGGGAAAATGCAAAAGAACAACACAAGCACTAATAGAATAAGTGCATGTTTTGCTAAGCTTTCAAATTTCTATAAAGTAGATAATTAAGTTCAAAATTGTAAATATACTACTTTGAAAGTAACCCCTACCTTTGCAACCCGGAAAAATAAAAAAATAAAAAAATGGTAACCCCAACCCTACCGTCAGATTAAGCAATTTTTTGAATTACAAGAAAAAGAATTAACATATCCAAATATATTTGGAAGAAAAATTTAAAAGCCGTAAGCTTAGAATCATGCTCTGAAACCTAATTTATCATGGGAACGGGAAAAGATAAAATACCACGTCCTTGGATGAAGGTGCATCTTCTGATGCCCTGTGCCTTGAATGTTCACCATGACGCCCTGAACCTGCAGGATTCCTTCTCGAAAAAGCTTCAACAGCTCCTGAGAATCTATCTCGAATATCTTGCCCCACTAAATCGAACGACCAAATCAGAAGAGTAGATCAATAATAAATCTACCAGCAGTTGCATCATTACTAAAATTTTACATGAGACTGGAAATGTTAATTCCAATGATGCTAATGGTTCAATTATCAAAATAATGGAAGTACTTGGGACAAATAAAACACAGGAAAGCAATATTCACTAAAGCTCATTCATCATTAGTTTGTAAGTTCATGCAGATATCACAAAAATCTTCTCTTTCAGGTGTTCTTTTTGCTGAACATATATACCTGATGTTTTTAATGGTCTTTCAACAGATGTTCCAGCCCCTGCATTGCCACTGGGATTCTGGAACCAAATGAATTAATTAGTATATTATCCTTGTAAAAAGACAAAGCAAACCATATTTGAGTAGGCACTTACTCTTGCTTTAGAACTGGTACCAATCTGAGGATACTTCAGTATTGTCCAATCAAAAACATAATCAAACTGGTAACCTGGGGAGATAATAAGTCAAGAAGTGAATATCGCAACATATGCCTGTGCAAAAACAAGATACTCGAGAAGGAATTTGACAAGTCAAAAACACAATATGATTATAATAATAATATAAATTTGCTTACAGACTACTAGAAGTTGGACTACACAACAGAATCACATAGTTTTAGTACTTCTTACCTTCTCGAATAAATAAGTCTCTGAAAAGTCTCTTCAAATAAGAATAATCCGGCTTGTCCTCAAATCTTAATGATCGGCAGTAATGAAAATATGATATGAACTCAGATGGATATGATTTGCATAGCACCTGTAAATTATTGCAAAATCATTTGAACATTCTGATACTGTCACTAGTAAGTAATAAGAGGGGGACCACCAGGTTCAGGAAGGGTGTTTTGGGATGAAAACATTGGGCAAGATTTAGCATCCAGGAATAAAAACAATAGGTAATGAATTAAAACCAGAATCCACTCCATCAAATTAATAAAACAGAGAATGACAAAAGAAAAATCTTTATGCATCTTTTGCATGAATATGTTGAAATCATGTTATTTTACAATAATACAAGTCTTTATCACAAATGAAAAATATCAAGGCAAGCACCCTTAGCTCATATATCAAGGACTAGCATCAGCATGGAAATTAAGTGGATGTAAAACGTAAGTTGGGGTAGGTTTACAAAGCAGGAAAATCAATAAAATGAGTTCTAAGTACCAAGACAAGTTAGTGGGGTCAATGTAGCAATTTGAGCACACTTAAGAAAGCATATAAATTTCAATAAGGGATATCACCTAAAAAAAATATGTACACATGACGCATGATGTGTACCTCTATAGAAGTTAACATCTTCTTTTCACTAATCTTGTCATATTTCTGCTTTTTGGTGCCAGCTTTCAGTCCCTGCCAGGGAAGGCTGGGATAGAAAAACATATGTAAAACATATTAGAAAATCCAAAAAATAATAGTTGACTAAGGATTCAAAACAGATATGCGAAATGCCTAACAAATATAAAAAAGTGGGAATCCCTTGTATGCTACCAACCTTCCTCTCAGAAAATACATGAGGACATAACCAAGAGATTCCAAATCATCCCTCCGGCTTTGTTCTGCCAGCAAAGTTAAACATGAATTGAATAAAATGAATCAGATTAAATAAAAGTCTAACACAGCAGACGTTTCTGATTAGGAATAACGTATAAAGTATGATGCCTCACTTACCAACTCCAAGGTGTGTATTGACACTGGCATAGCGAGCAGTACCGGTGAGATTCTTGTTTTCCCTACAAAAGAATATTGAGAACTCAAGGGCAAATATCAAACAACTGTGTGGAAGCATCAGATATATGACATGCTTCTATACATATCCGACAACCATGACTTAAGGCTAGCGAACGCATTCACAGAAAGTACCTGTAGGGTATGTGCTTATGAGTCTGCAGATCCCTATATTTTTTGGCAAGACCAAAGTCGATGATGTAAACCTGCAATTACTACGACGAATTGTCATGGAAACATATACCACCATCATCCACAAAGTAATTAGGTGTGACAAGTTAATGCATTTACCTATTGCATCAATTATTGTAATTAACAATTTGTCATTCACACTCAACAAAAAGTAAATGCATATGGAAGTTTTACCATTTAATAGCATGGAAAATTTCCTTTATTCACTCAAAAGAATAAGGAAAAAATGGAAAGACCATTGCAACCAAATAAAGTTAATACAGGATAGTATCCTGTGGCAAAAAAAAAAAAAACC